GTGGGACTCGATCCCAGGACCCTGGGATCATGACCTGAGCCGAAGGCAGATGCTTAATGACTGAGCCACCCAGGCGCCCCAATGACCAGATTTATTTAAAAGATAAATCTTATTTATGCCTTTTAAATACCTATGTTTTAAAAATAAATAAATCGATCTCTCTTTCCGGCATGCAAGATTTAATGGGAACTATAACACATTTCTCACTATAAAAATTAAATATTTGACATTTAAAAAAGAATATGTAGAATATATATTTTTATGGTAAAGTATAATATTAAAAAATCCATGTATCATCTACTTGGTCATTCTTTTTGTTAGAATTTAGGAGAACTTAGAATTTATTCCAAGTTTAGGGTTCTGTCTTTGTGATTATGTATAATTCAGGGAGAATTTTGTTGAACAACTAAATGTGATTGGTGACAATAACTAAATGGAGTTTGACTTCAGGGAAAAGTCTAAAAATCAGATTTTTGCATAACATATTTTAAACAAGGAGTAGTATGCCTTTAGAGCATTCAGCTTTAGGTAATTAGAACTCTTGTGGAAAGTAGATTATTTCCACTTAAATACATATGTTGCCCAAAGACAGAGTTTCTTGAAATATTAAGAATTTTACATATTTCAGCAATAATTTTCAGACACTGTCACTTCCATTAACATTGGTTAGGAGTAGAAAGTTGTACTTGATTTTAGATAGACTTTCAGCATGACGGTGATGATGTGAACAAAGGCAAAGGAAAAAAAATTAAATTTCCTTAAAATTTACAGCCATTGACAAGCCCTTGAGACAGGCAGAATGCCCTTCCTCTAGGAACTCAGCTGCCTCCATATTAATACTTTGCTAAAAGCAAAAGGCAACCTTAGCTTAACATTAGCCTGACTTCCAAAATCCTGCAAGTCTCCTTTAACATGTAAAAATTCCTTTGGAAACTTCCTTTATCTCTACCCACCCCTTCCCCCCAAGATACATGTTAGCAATCATCCTCCAAGCATATGGCCCACTGATAGACATCTGAAGGGTCTCATGACTAAGGTTTTACTAGACAGTAGCAAATGACCTTTTCCTAACAACAGCTAGCCCCTCAAGGTCCTGGAGACCTTGCTTCCAAATTCCTTAGAGAGTTACGCTTTCCCTGACCCCCTCCCAATTTGAAAGTATATAATGGGCCACTCCTCATGACCCCAGTGCAGCTCTTTTTGCCCACGGATCTTGTCCCATGCTTTAATAAAACCACCTTTTGAGAAGACATCTCAAAAATTCTTTCTTGACCATTTGCTCCTGAACCCCAACATTGTTACATCTGTTGAAACCAAGGGTTTTTGTATGAAAGAGGTTAACCCAAAACCACATTCTGATTGATCGAAATCTTAATCTGATATATTTCTATGAACTATATTTTGAGTTGGTTAGCTTTGTTTGCTTGATCTCATTTGTTGGTGATGCCTTTTGAACCATCTTTGCTATCTATATTGGTATTCTTGGTAAATTCAAGCCTCTCAGGATGTGTGTATTTAAAAATTTTATGATTTGAAAGATTTACAAAGCCCATGTTTTTTGTTTTTGTTTTTTTTTAAAGATTTTATTTTTATTATTTATTTGACAGAGAGACACAGCGAGAGAGGGAACACAAGCAGGGGGAGTGGGAGAGGGAGAAGCAGGCTCCATGCAGAGCGGGGAGCCTGACGCGGGACTCGATCCCAGGACCCCGGGATCATGACCTGAGCCAAAGGCAGTCGCTTAACCGACTGAGCCACCCAGGCGCCCCAAAGCCCATGTTTTTGTAAACTTAAAATATGTTGTCATTTTGGTTTGTGGATTAAAAAAAATTTTTTTTTTGGATGGTTAATGATGAGCATTTACCGTTTACCACCTTCTGCCCTTTCGGATGCACCCTTCTAGGTCCAGGGGTTCTTAACTTGGGGTTAAAATGTATCACAGTGAAATAATTTTCTTTGTAATTCTATGTATTTTTTATTTTATTTTATTATTAAAGATTTTTTATTCATTTTTTTTGAGAGAGAGAGAGCACAAGCAGGGGGTGGGGAGGGGCAGAGAGAGAGAAGCAGGCTCCCCACTGAGCAAGGAGCTGTTGCAGGGCTCCATCCCAGGACCCTGAGATCATGACCTGAGCCAAAGGCAGACACTTAACTGACTGAGCCACCCCGGTGCCCCTGTAAAACTATTTTTAAAGTTTTGTTGAATTTGAGTGCTTTTTCTAGATACCAGAATTCATTTTTATGTGCTATACTCCTCAGGACACCATTTCATTTCATTGGGATCAAAATGGTCAACACCATCTGCTTGGTTTAAAACAATTATTCTAGGGTATTTAATTGGTACACATTTTAAAATTTATAAATATGGCTGCCTATACAGGTATTAATTCTACTTCTGGAAAGGAAGATTTCTCCTCTAAATGTGTAATTAGAATATGTTCATACAAATGGAGAAGTATATTTGCATATAGCCAATAACAAGGTAAGAGTGCTTTTATAGAGTTTTCAGAATGAAGGAGTATGATTGTTTGAAAAACTGGGTAGAAACAAAATAAAGTGAAGAAAAACATGTTGGTGTAGTTGGTTTACAACTTTTTTCCTCCCCCATCTTTCTTAGGGCAGAACCTTTTTGGGGAGCTTGATTTTTGAAAAGGAGATAAAAATGAGAATTAAAGCAACCTATCAAGATGGAACAGTTATTGCTCAGGCTGAGTATGGCAGTGTGGATATAGGGGAGGAGGTGGCTAAAAAAGGATTTGCAGAAAAATGTAAGCTCACTTCCAGCACTAACACCTGTGAGGAAAAAAAATCAGATCCTGGTCATCTTGTCCTCAGGAACCTCAAAAGCCCCATTCCCTCATGGGGGCATAGATCAAACCAGTCAGCCTTCACCCGGCCAAAGGGGCGCTTAAGTGGGAGGATGACTCTTGACCTGAAGAATGAAAATGATGCAGGAAATCATGTGACATTTCCAAAGTAAGACTGTCATGGGGTTTTTAGTCTTAACTAGTTTCTAATTCATGGTAGAAGCTCTTGTCATAGTAGAAGTCAAGGCTTATGTTTTTGGAGTCTTCATCTATGTCAGTGATTTTGAGGGATGGTACTCATTTCTATTTTTCTCAAACATGTATTCCTGTCTGCTTTTGCAGGAATATTTTCATTAAAAGCCATTTTGAAAGAAAAATCATGCCTCAGTTGTTTAAAGTTCACATACCAGCTCTTCATATTAATTCTTTTGAATATGTTTATCAAAAAAATATACCCCTAAATCAATTATTCAGGCAAAGCTAGAATTTCAGATAAACTTTGAAGTTTTCCTATGGCTTTAAGAATATTTTAATGAGTTTTAGGGAATTACCTTTCCTTTTTAACAAAAGAGAAACTCTTTGTTCTTCCTGTGGTAACTTGTTATGATGGAATTTGATTATTACAAAGGGAATTCACTTTTTAGACAATCTCGAATTATAAATTTGAAGCAGAAAGCCATGTTTAATGTTTCTAAGTACCAAACCATTTATAAACTTCTGTATCATGATCCAAGCCATGATGCCATGTCTTGGGTTATGTAGCTGTTTTTGGGATCTTAGAAAAAAACTGTAAAATGGAGTGGGGTTGATGGGGAGGAGAAATTGGAAGAAACTGATAAAGAATGCTTTTTACTGTATTTGCTGGAGTTGATATTGCTACAAGTTGGCATATATTTGAGTGTTGGCAGCATTGTTTTTGAAGTTAACTTTATATTATGGTATAAAAAGCTCAGGATGATTTAGTTTAGATTTATGATCTCTGTCAGCCTTACACAGTTTGGTTTTTAAAATGAGTGAATTTGTTTTTAATAGGGAAAATTTGGCTGTTGGAGACTTTAATTTAGGGTCTAATGTCAGCCTGGCAAAAATTAAGCAGGACCAGAAGCTGATTGAAGAAAATGAAAGGCTTAAAACAGAGAAGGAGGTTCTTCTTGAAAGTTATAAAGTTCTAGAATCCAAAGTACAACAGACTGCCCAGGAGCTGCAGGTATGGTATGTTCACTGGTGTAAAGAGTGACCGTCTGGGTAATCTGTATACTCATCTGTTCTTCTTTGTTTAATTTGTTGTCACTTTTTGTTTTCTTCCCTTTCTCTCCTCCTCTCTCATTCTCTCTTTTCTTTATATTTGTTTACAGATGAAGTTTTTTCTTACACTCCAAACTAATCATCTTTGGATTTCATTGAATGTTTGAAAGATTAATGATTGCTCATTTACATTTCCTTTTATGTTCTTTTAAAAACTTTTGACTGTGGGAAATTTCAAACATTCCAGAAGGAGAGAGTTGAATAATTAACCTTATGTATTCATCAGCCGGTTTTACATTATTAGACACATGGGCAGTCTTTTTTAAAAAAAAAACTATACCTCCTGAGTTACTTTATTTTATTTATTTATTTATTTATTTTTAAAGATTTTAAAAATTTATTTGTTTGAGAGAGAGTGAGAGAGAGAGAGAGCATGAGCAGGGGCATAGGGAGAGGGAGAAGCAGACTCCCCAACTGAGCAGGGAGCCTGATCCAGGGCTCGATTCCAGGACCTTGGGATCATGATCTGAGCTGAAGGCACATACTTAACCAACTCAGCCACCTAGGCGGCCCAGAGTTATTTTAAAACAAATCCCATTCATAATATTCTACTGTATATGTTTTAGTGTGTGCCTCTGGTAGAGAATAACTTCGAAAAAGACAACCGTAATACTGTTCATACTTAAAAATTAACAGTAATTCCTTAATATCTTTTAATATCCAGTGTTCAGATTTCCTGAAGGGAAGCTATGAATGTCCCTTAGCTTCTTCCAGTTGGGATCCTAGTTTAGGCCTGTGCCTTGCATTTTGGATGATAAATCTCTTAAATTGCTTAATCTGCATCCTTGTGTTGCTTAAGAGTCTCCTTTATCTGCATGTATTTCCTTTTATGGTAGTTAGATCTCAAGGTTTGCTCAGATTCAGAGCATTTTTTTCTCCCCCAAGAATATTGTGTATTTTTCAATATTGTGTATTTTCAAATGTGTAAGTGCCATCCTAACACTGGTCTCCAATTCACCATCACCAACTGGATGTCGTACCATTCATTTGTGATACTAAATACCCAGCAGTTGGCACAGACCCCACAAGTTAAGGACTCAGTCCCATACGACTTCTACCACTTCAGATACCAGCCACAATCAGGTTCCCAGGCTACCTACACTTCTGCCTGTAAATTTGAGAGTTCCTGTGATCCCTACTCCCCTGTTCAATAATTCACTAAAACAACTCACAGAACTCAGGAAAGTGCTGTACTTATGATTACAGTTTTATTATAAAGGATATATGATGGGGGTGAAAGGTGGAGTAGGGAAGCTGGGGATATTTAGTCTACCACTCTACCAGTACATGGGTTTGTTCACCCATCTGGAAGCTCCCTAAAACCTAATTATTTGGAGGGTTTTTTTTTTTTA